ACATGTACATGTACATATGCGGTGCATTCAAGTGAGGTACATGTTTACCGGTATGTGGAGTACGTGGATGGCAGTTCGGGTCATACAGTTGTTCAATAACCTGTAGAAAGGAGAGACCAGAAAAAGGCAAGCTACATGTACATGACCGTGCCCCCCCAAAAAGAAAATGGGGTGGGGGAAAGGAAGGGCATGTGTTGTGTACCTTTCTTCTTCCCCCCTTCCCTGGTCTGCCATTACCTTGATCGTTTTTTTTGATGAAAGGAAGTGGGAGATAACGCTTTACGGGGGACATGTGCCAATATAGTGGCGAGGTACATACTGTACTGTAGCACATGTAAGCCAAGTATATTATACCCTCCACTGATATTGGCTGAGGCTAATAAGACAAGAAAGATTTCTTTACTTAAGCAAACACATTTTTTAGTTCATGCTACACATGTATAAATGCACAGGTGTTACTTGACATGTCTGTATGTTTAACATTTAGCTGCATGTACATGTATGGGGTGCACTGTATGCATAAACATGTTCTGTACCCTTATGTCAAATGATAAAAATGAATGGTTTTCGTTACCCGTTCCTGTTAGTTTTTTAATGCCAATTCTAAAGCATTTTTTCTCTTCCATCGGTAGTCTTATTCACATAATCTACAAAGTATGTACATGTACCGCAAGTTTACCATTTTGATGACCCGTGGCACAAGTCCACTGAACGTAGTTTTCAGTAGTAGCTTAAAGATTTTGCACAGTTACATGTATCTGCACAAACGTTTGCTTAAAATAATCAGAAACATTGTTTTCCTTCTGTCCTTCATGGCACCCACACAGTTGTACACATGCAGTAGAAATGTGCATGTCATGACCACAGCAACTATCCTACTGAAGGTGCACGCATGTAGGGTACCATTTCAGGTACAGTACCAGTACACTGTTTACAGACATTTTTATGCTCATCCGGTGCACGTTCTCCAACCGCCTGCATCAATCAAGCAAGACATTGTGAATATAAGAAGGCACTAAACAGTGCAGGACCCTAAATCCTCTTGGTCATTTCACCGTGATGGGGTAACCCTTGAAATGCAGCCGTCAGGATATGATGATACTTGAACCTGTGTAAGTACGGCTGTTTGACACAACAGTATTTTGAGCTGCAGTTTTGTGCATGTAAATGTACAGTGTACATGTATGTGTGTATCTGTCAATGTACATGAATTTGGCAGTTTCATATCTGTACAGGCACAGTGACAGTCTGGTTCCTTTGCTGTCATGATTAGTTCCTTTGCTGTCACGATTTAGATCACATTGTACTTTAACTATAAAAGCAAGAAAGTATACAGTACTGTACATGCGTTCCACAAACTTCACCCTCTCTCGCCGCCTCCTGAGTACATTAAAGCTCAGCCGAAAACTCTGAGTCATAGGCACAGAGAGGACAGAAAAGCCTGAAACACTAAGCAGATGGAGTGCTTTGGGCTTGAACGACCCAGTTCACTCAGACTGTGAAATCACTCCCTCCCCCCCTCCATCCCACCTCCACCATAATTTGCCAAGGAGTTTGGGGCTTGAGATTTCCCTCCTTCTCTCATCGCCGTGGTGCAGCATCCAGCCTCGTGGGAGGGAGGCTGTTTGTGGACTCTCGAGGAGAGGCGGCCGGTATTGTGTTGTTGTGATCGGCAATGCCTGACGGAATTGTGAGCAGAGACAGGGATTTTTTTTCGGGATAGTGCCCTTGAGGATGAGTAGCATGCTGCCTAACCCAGACATCCGATACAACGGATGCTGGTTTCAATCAAGTCATAGCTCTCCCTTTCTCCCCCCCCCCATTATATTCTTGTAGCCTGTATTTTATTTTAGAAACGAGCAGGAAATCTTGACCCATGTCCATGTGTCTGCTTACTGTATAAGGTATTGGTAAATGTGTGTGTTTAGAATGTACAAATTAATGTAAAATGGCCAGTGCTTTTGAAAACTGTAAATTGTATACTGTTCAATGCACACACACCATGTACATGTGTACACAATTGGTCTGTGATCTAGTTGGGCATTTTGCATTGAGTGGACTTATACAAGTCAAGGTAATTGGAGGGGCGTATTCTGGCAGTCACCTGATCTTTGTCATTATACATTTTTTTTCCCTGGAATTCTGCATTTGTGCAGAAGATGGTCACAAACATGAAAAATGAATTCACCTCTGGCACTATGCACACATACATGTACCCTGTACAAGTCCCACATCCCTGCCTATTCTAGGGCCAGTGCCAATATAACCAAGGTTTCATGGCAGCCAGCCAAGTAGGACATTCTGGTGATAAATGCCCAGGAAAAAGATCGTATTTCAATTTTAATAAAGACGCACCTTGTAAAACAATTTTTTTCCTATCTGTTCTTTTTGAAAATTACAGCTTGTCTGGCTGTCTGTGACAGTTCTGGTATGCTTTTACATTTGATGCAGCTGTTGTCAAATGCTTTCTTCCTTTCCAATAAGAAGATTCTTTATCAAGTGTTCAATACATAAATCATGTACATGTACATGTAGTGTACGTGTACATTACGTGTACATGTACATCACGTGCTTGAAACTGTTTCAGCCGAATGGGTTGTCGTGTCAAGAGTCGTGAAGGTACACAATAAAAAAAAGCTGCATGTACGATACAGTAATGAGAGAATATGCTATGACACCAGTCCTATCAGTTCGGACACTACCGTACCATCCATTACATCATTATCTTTACACTGAAAAACAAATTTTGTTTGTTTCCCAATGAGCAGAGTGGAGTTTCAACACCGTAAAATAGTAAAATCATATTGAAATCTAAAGTCCCAAATCCTCTGATTTCAATTTGATTTTGCATACACCCTAGTGGCTTAGGGTTAATGCTCATTATTGTTGATGTTATAAGACCTTTTCAAGGTCTGCAGTAGAATATAACTATCTGCCTTTTCCATCGTTAAGGTTTTTTATCATTTCAAAATATTTTGCCACACTCTCAGCAAATAAAAATCAGTTGGTTACACGTACATGTACCTATGGCACTTTGGCACTCTTCAAGATTTCATTATCAAACTCCAAAGTCTGGGAACTTCCAATTCATTCTGATAAATACTGGCTTTTAAAAATAGATGTTGTTCAAATCACAATGGAAAAAACATTGCACTGCACTCAACATTCCAGTCGAAGGTTTAAAAAAAAGCTGGCAATATTGAAAGATTTGTGGCATACTTACATTATACTCCATTCAGTTGAACAAAGCAAAGAAATACGAACGTTTGACAGAGAATTTCTATTCCATGTACATGTAACTGTTGTGTGATGTGCTCCTACTTTCTTTTCAGCAACTGTTACTTAAATTAACCTGTCCATCATTGCATTTTCTTTGAGGTAGTAGTCAGGGTTTGCCCTTAACTTTTTTTGTCTCTTGCCAGCCGGACCAGCAGTGATGGCTTTTTACTAGTCCACCAGCAGCATTTTCACTAGTCCGCATCTCTCCCCAGACTTTCAACATTCTTTTTTAGCACTAGTGTTTTCTGCATAACCTGATAACAGTGTGCACTCGGGGCTGCATGTTGTTTAATTGTTGATGAGTAATCTTAAATGGCCATGGGACTTGTGAATTTCCAGAATATTCATGATTATAACTTTACTCAAGCAAATTAAACACAGAGTGTGATTACCCACTGAAAATGGTTTGTTTTATTTGCAGTCCAAGAGACAGAAAACAATCCATATCATTATGAACAGTTTATGTACATGTACGTTCTTTGCAGTATGTACATGTACATGCACATCTGTGCATGTACACCTGGCGAAATGTACATGTATACAATGTACATGTATGTATAGTCATGACTTACATGTACCTCTGCGATGCAATGCATGAAAGCACATGCTGATTTAATCTAGTACGCAGAACCAACGGCAAGTCATGTAGCGTTGTCAAGACCAGCCGTACACAGCCAGTAGTCAGTAAACGGCTGACAGTTAAGTGCAATCGCATGGGCATTGTGGAACAGAAGTTTCAGACAATTTACTGCCGGTGCATTCATAGACTTCAGCATTACTTCTGTTGGGCTGGTGCCAGGGACAGAACTAGTCTTGGTCGCAAAAGGTCCTATTTTATTTCGTTCAAAAACCAGCAGTAGCTAGAGGGCATGCTTCACGATCAACTGTTTTGCTGCTTATTTCAGAATATTGTTTTACTAGACCGCCGGACTACCCAGATGAGGGCTTTCGCTATACCTCCATGGTTTTTACTCGAATTTGGCTAGCAGACCAGTGTCAAGGTCGAACCCTGGTAGTGGTTAAAAGGATTACATTTGCATAGTACATTCTGCTTGCAACTCTTCTTTTATCTGTCAGCGCTAGAAAAAATTTAGAAAACAAACTTGTTAGGACTCATCAATACTACCAAATGTTATTCACACAAAATTACGGATGGAAAGTAATTGAAATACTCCACATGTGGAGTTGGCCCACTATTTCTTGGTACTAAATGTACATTTATACTGCGTGTTCATGAGTTAAAAATGCATAAATCCCAAACTGTGAGTAGTGATTGTGATATAAAGAAATCAGTCTTTATACTTGCTCTCATACCAAGTACACTCTACGGTACATGCTACGGTAGTCTTCAAAATGTACAGGTGCCTGCATTTTTCCATCACTTTTGGCAAAGAATACTTTGAAAGGCAGTGTTTTCCGTTTTGTAAAGGTCTTTTCATTTCTTTTGTATGAAGATTAATGGACGTGAACTGGTACGTTATTGATATTTAAACACAGGTAGAACAAGCATATTTTAAATGTCCTTTTAGTTTGGCATAATTTCATCTTTGCTTCAAGAAGCAGGCTTTTTTAATGTCAAAATCTGCTTGGTCCTCTGAATTAATATTCAGTCTATAAAAAGGATGGTGCATTGATTTTATGGATAACATTACTGGCTTAAACAGAAGATAAATTAGTGTGACTCACTTTGTTCTTGATAATCCCTTTTTTCCTGTTGACAGCACCTGTACTGTGCATTCGGGGGTACCAACAAGGGTCTGGTCTTCAAGGATTTGTTCACGGGCTTGGTGCTACTGGCCAGGGGATCACAGACCGAGAAACTCAAATGTAAGTGAGCCATCTAAAAAGTTAACTCTGACCTATATGTGTGTCATGCTTGTAGTTCTTGTCAGTATTCAGTACAAAATACATTGTAATGAAGTTTTTTAGGTAGTGCTAAGAGGCCAGACTGAATAAGCTACTTGGGAGTTAAATTTGAATAAAATCTGGTACACTGTGTTTTCTGATTGCATAGAAACGTAACAATTAAAATTCCTTTGTGCCGTTTCTATCCATTGAGAACAGTGTATTGTTGCAAGGCGTCTCTTATGTAACTAAGCAAAAGCTTGCCCCGAATCACAAGGTATAGCAACAGTGGTTTTAGTATGGAGAATTCAAGTTGTTATGCTCATGTGAATTTAAAGAACTCAGTGTTCCAGATTTTATTCAAATTTAACTCGCAAATGGCTTATAGAGGGATTTCACATTAGCGCCGTTTGCGCATATCTGCATCGAAACCGAGGCTCTATGTGTTGAACTTCGTTGCGCGCGCCCATGGAGTCTACACAGTACATGGAGTATTCTGTTCGTAAGTGTGACGCCACTTCAGTTTAAACCACGCCCACTGCACAAGATACATGACCATCGCAGGTACGTTAGTTTGAAGTAAATTGTCATTATTTTTTTTTTTTATTTTACGTGTCGAGTCATCCTGAAAGACTCTTCTTTATGTATTTTGTGTCTTAACTCCTTACTTTCAATCGTCTGATCGTATTAAGAATTGAAGCTGACACATACAGCCTCGTTTTCAAATGCGGAAGTGTGCAGATCGACGCTAAAAGCGTCGTATTGGGATCCCTCTATTGATCAAGGGTTTTGTTGCTGGCTCTGTGTCTTCCTGCATCTGCTTTGGTAATGCGGTATTTGGCAGTTTTTGTGCAGATGCTGTAATTCAACTAGAACATGTGAGTATTGCCAGCAGCATACATACACAAGTACTAGTAATTTTAATTGTCTTATGAGAATAATTTCTACAGTGAATTTTTTTTACATATAGAGCTTTTTCACCCATGTAACTGGGTTGCACTAAATGTAAACAGTACCATCACGTGTGGACCATCTTGGCCATCGCATATCGGTATATTCTTACGGGCAGCTTCAATCGCGTGTGAACGCTGCATGATTGACTAGTTTATCTTGAATAAGTAGATTACCATCACAACACTATGCACTCATTACCATCACAATACATGGCGGTCCAGCACGATTGTGACGTCACAGGAAACAGGTCTATATGTATGACCTACTGAGTACACTGTCATAATTTCACAGGAGAAAACTCATGCATACTCTTCATATTACATTACAGTAATTGGGGGGCGTAGATCTACAGATTTAAAGAACAGAGATGTCTGGGAGGCTAAAAGAATTTCTTTCGGGGACAAAGGAACATTTCATACAATTAACAGGAAAGTGCTCCTCATCACTTCAAAATCTTTAGAAATCGCACAATTTAGAGAGCTGCAAGTCTTTGCCAGACAGATTCAGAGGACACATAAGCATTTATGCAGACTAGTGGTTTCTTCCAGCATGTTGAGTGCTACATTCTTTTGATTCTGTGAATCTCCATGTAGCACTGATCAAGATTACTGCATTTTGCCTTTTTTTTTTCTTTTAACTGTGTGAGCAGTGTTGAAAGGCAATTACCCACTTCATGCGCAATGCACTTAACCGTTCTGTCATTCATTACCCGAGTGAGATTTCCGTAGTGAGTGGAGAGATCACGGTCTGTTTCCATAATCCTGTGAAAAGCTTCCGTTAGCTCAACATGCTCGGTTAGCTTTCAAAAAAACAAGACAGTGCTGGGGAGTTTTCCGGTCCAAATGTGCGCGCCCATTGCAGAGTGCACAAGTCTGGCAGAGGGTCATTCAGGCATTGTTGTTTGGTTTGGGATGTTGCACACAACTCCTCATTGATGACGCCCTTCTGTCAGGGAGCAGAAAATGTACACATAATGACAGCAGCAAAAAAGGCATGTGTTTGTTAAAAATAGTACGTATGCATTGGATGTCGTGACTTCCCTTCAAAATCTCTCGTGTCATAAACCTTAGGATTTATGCATCCATGTGCACAGTACAGTGCAGGTTTACAAAATTGCAATTAACATGTCACTCACAGATTTGTCCATGCTGTATTTACTACTATACATGTAAATGTACAGTCTACATGTACATACATACCCATACAGGTATGTAAATGTACATGTATGTACATAGGTCTGCAAGTGTACACGTACATGTACAATGTACATGTACAGTATACTGTGAACAGTACGCAAACATGTGTACATGTACATCCCTTAGGAATGTTTGCTCAGAATGTTTGTAGCAAGCATACATGTACATGTACCTGACCAGCCTCTTGTGGGATGGCTGTGCCTAATTGATAATCAACAATTCAGTCAATTTACCTGCATCTTCAGTGTACACAAATTAGCCCATTAGCTGTCCAAAAGTGTTTGTCTCTCTCCAGGCATATATGTACACGTACATGTAGCTCTATGCTCCAGGTGTTTGACTTCAGTGACTAGTCACTATGGAGCTGTGCTTCATGTCCTGTAATGATTGAAGGCAAGATAAGACATTGTTATAATGGTCTGCCTTCAAGTTCTTTCTGGACTCTCAGATAACTAGGCTAGTGCCGAATAATCCAACACATTAATATATTCTTACTGTTTGATCATGTAGTGGATTAGTTTTTCATTATTACAGTGGAGTCATGGACTTGTGCTGGCAAAATTTACAAAAGGAAATGTTCTTATGATGATAATGTGTTGCTTCATGCATCAATAGGAAGTGCTTCTCTCTAAGCTCTGTTGACTGAAAATTTGCCGCACAGCCGAATGATTGACCGGATTTCAAGCTGAGTACATGTTCAATTATATGATCTGACTTTGGCCTACAAATAACAATAATTTGTTACTACATGTACATGTAAGCGCCTTTATTAATTTTTCATAGTTATTATTTGCATAAGCCGTGTTTAGACTTTTTCAGGTGAAACTTACAAAAAGTGTTATCAATTTGACAAAAGTAAATCCAATGTGGACAGACAATAACTGCAGTTGTTAGTTTAACCTTCCTGCAGTGGAAATTTTACGGGACCAGCCCGGCTTGGAAGAAGTACATTGTCAGTTTTACGTCACAGAAAAGTTCATGTGGATGGCCAGTGTAACGTAAAAGATACATGTGCTGATTACGTGAATGGGTCAAGGCACATGTACGGTATGTATTTGATGTACATGTACATGTATGGTGCACATGTACATGTGCATCAGAGTAACTAATTCTAATTTTTCATTGAAATATTCACATACTACATGTAGTTTATTTGTGGAGTGCAGTATGTACACACTACGTGTACATAAATGTATGTACATGGAGCAGCATTGTTGACCTTGGATCTTGGCAGTAAATGAACCAGGAAATGTGATGATGGAGCTGTTTTAAATCATAAATGGTCATCAGGGTGTTTATCAATACGCTCATACAGGGCACATTGTTATATGTGTGTTTGTACAAATGTATACATGTGCATGTTACATGTGCATTGTTATGTGTGCATGTATACAAAATCTATATAATACATGTACATTGCAGTATGTGAGTACGTGTACATATACATGTACATGTACCGGTATGCACATTACGCTTTTGTGCAGCTTATTTCCCTTATGAAGGGAATTAATAATTTGAAATTGCACATTTTTAAAGTTAATTTTCAGCAATTTTATATTATTAGATGTTCTTTTAAGTACATGGACTGTAAATGGAACTTTGTTGTGGAGGTTTCAATGTTAAATACTGTACATGTAATAATAATTTTTACAATACGGGTACATGTAAAGGCCATGTATGTATATTTTGCATGTGAAATGCAGTCATGCATGTATACTATAGTTTGCAATGCACTCTATGTATACACTCATTGTTCATCACCTTACAATTGCAAGATGTGCTCCTACACATACATACAGTATTGTGTTCCTTCCTTTAGCTTGATGTGTCTTTTTTCAATTAACTTTGGGCAATTACGTTTACTGGCACCATAGTCTGGAAGATAACGTTTCATCATACATGTACATTGATTGTACATGTACAGAATTCGGTTGAGCACAGCAGGCCGCTGTCTCACTCCAATCACTGGCCATCATTCCACACTGCACACTCCACGTGTCATCACTCACGAGGCCATACACGTACACATGTAGCTCACCCCATCCAATCAAGCTGATGTAATGAAGAAATGCTGTTCTTGCCTTCACAATAAATAAGCGATGAATGTACACCTTTGTTTGTTTCTGCAATTTTAGTAATGAAGTGTTTCACGTCACATCCACCTGTACTCATACTACATACGATGTTCATTGCTGTGATTGTACCATACATGAACATGTACATCATGCCATGTACAGACAATCAGTGTTACACCCTTTTCCCCTTACATCATGTACACAATCAATGCTTTACCCTTCTTGTGCACTGTTTTTGCTCAGTTTGTACAGTGCATATGTATCTGGTCCATGTACATGAACATGGACGTTTGTACTCCAGTCCAAGGCTGAAAGAAATTCCAAGAAAATTTCAGAAATACTAATATGACAATTGGCCTGGTGACCTTAATTATTGAATCTTTTCCTTGCTGAACAAATTTCTGCCCTCTCTAACATAACATGTACGAATGTGAATGAGAGGCCACAGTCCATGACGAGTTCATGTTCTTCAATTAACATTTTTAAGGAACTCGTTTGTTCAAATGCCAGTTTACTCATGAGTCCAGGTGAGAGTTGTCTCTTTATTCAAAAATTCCCTCATTGGTACTGGTTCATGTACATTTTCAATCGGTGCTGACATTTGATGGCAAGACTTGTTGAAAAGCTGCTAAACTGTCTGTCATTTTACTCGTATTCTCCAAGTTCCAAATTTTTAACTCGGTAATGGGGAGGGTAGTGGGAACCCTCAGCATGGGGATTATGGTCCATTCCCCCCACCCCATTTCTTTAGTTCAGG